AAGTGACTTTTCTGGTTAACTCTGAACATGCCAGATCGTCCCATTCAGGGGGGCTGATTAGCCCAAAAATAAGTTTGAGGGTCGGATTGAGAAAACAAAATAAGTGGAAGGGCTCAGTTAATGATCCTAGATTCCTAGATCTTAATTAATATATATACCTGCTGTTTCAGCTTCAACCGTGAGCATTCTCATCTAGAGATATTATCAAAAAAAAAAAACTATTAGCTAGGAAAATTATTACAAGATTAATGTAGCATTTATTAAAGATTAATGTAGCATTTATTAAAGCCAAAATCATATTAAGAAAACAGATTTAATTTATGGCAGAAAATCTACCTCGGATACCAGGAGAAGGCAGAGGACTGCAAATGCAAGTGTTGTGTTGGCGCTGAAGATCTACCAACCTTATCGTCATCTTCTCTGTTTTTTTTTTTTTTGGGTAACAAATTAACACTGAAAGAGAGAGGATAGGTTTTCGTTTCAAATATCCTTTTTTGTTTTTTTTTTCCTTTTTATTGTTTTGCCCCTGTTGGGATTTGTTTTCCAGGATTGTAAAAAGGTCAGATGCCAGCTTTTGTGATGATGTTGTCATGAAATTTCCCTAATCTTGCCAAAAATAATGCTTGAATATTCATGTTTTGCGAATTTTTTTTTTTTCCAAACATAGTGTTTGAATGGAAGGATTCAAACCCGTAAGTCCTTGTCGAGCTGCAATTAGACTGCCAAGGGCTTAAATGGAACAAATGTCAAGATCACAAAATGGTGAAATATCAACAGGATCATGATTGGTGAACATCCGGATCCCACGTCCGGGTGTGCACCTCTCATATAAAAAAAAAAAAATTGAATCGGGTGATGGACCTTTTTTTTGTGTTTATATGGGAGTGCATATTCGGGTGTGAGATCCAGGTGTGCACCCATCATTTTCCATATCAATAGAGAACGCAAGAAAAGAAAATAATTATAATGAAATTGATTGAATGCATTTTAATTATTCATGGCATCAAGAAATATTAAGGTAACTCATACTGGCATACAGCATACTAATGGCATAATCTATGCATGGAGATGCCCCCTTTGTATCCAAGAACAAGCAAAAGTACACAGTAGAATCGAACCTCGCATGAGGTGCATTTTGCCAGTACAATCTGCTTTACAATCAATCAACCAGCGAGTTATTGACTCCGTTCTCTATAAATAAATTTTCGATTTCAAACCTTATAAATGAAGAAATAAGTATTGGTAAAGTTTTCTTATTTATGAGATTTGATGTAGTTTGATTCCAAATTAATTAGGGTAAACATTACTACTCTCAAACACTAAAAGATTTAGAGGAAAAAAAAAATCAATCGATGTTGTAATCTAACACCTTTGGGCTCCGGAGAGAAGAAGATTTTTGAGACTCTTACCATTTTTTCCCAGTCCTTTTCTAGTTTCTGCACCTATGCTAATTCTAAGCTTGGAAATGGTGATCTATAAAAGAGCTCAGAATGCAAACCCCATAATTAGGGTACATGATAAAGGTAGGTTTAATACGCCATTTTAATTTTAATTAGTATTGAAAATGATGAAAGTTGATATTAATTTCATTACTAATATTAGGTAAATTATTTTAATTAAATAATTAATTAAATAAAAAAATTATTGAAAATCAAAATGTTCTGACACTCAAAACATTTATCATAGCCATTAGTTATGTAGGTTTCAATCAAAAATCTACTTATTTGACTGTTATGATGGATATCCTGACGCCAAAACGTATTGATTTTCATATTTTTCTTAAATAAAAATCAATTTTTATTTTTTTCAATATCAATTAATTAATGTCAAAAAAAGGTACATTGATTAGAAAAACCCTATCCGTAAACCATTGCTTCCAATTAGTCATCAAGAGCTCATAAATTAGCAAAACCACCTTGGATCCAAATTAACTGCCCATCTTTACTTATCATACCAAAATCCCAATCCACATGGAGAAACATCCAACTTTTGATTATTTGGAAAAACAGTTACTACAAAAGATTAATGATGAATCAAACTATTGAAACACGGATTGCTTTATATCAATACTGGGCCAAGAAATGCATTGAAGTGTTGAACCACAGCGTCTGGTTTAAAGTTGGTGCCTTTTCAAAAAAGAAAAACAAAAAAGTTGTGATTTCACGTGCAAGTGCTTAATTAGGTTAGAAGCAAATCGAAACCACCAAGGTTGAAGCCACCAAAACATTGTGTGAGGTTCTTGCTTTTACCATTTATATTTATGATAAGAGCTTGCAGTTGCACGGTTGCACTTGTAAGATGCAGTATTATGTTCTAATTAATACTAATTAAATTTATTCACATGACAATAAAACTAAAATTAATACTAATTTTTATATTTTTCTTATACAAATTTATGATAAAAGGTGATTTTAGGGCACATGAGAGTATAGAAAAACCCTAAAACTAGCAACTCTTTGTGGGTCTCAAAAGAAAAGCTAGAGTATTAGTAGTTAGTGTCCACAATATGCCAATCAATTCTCCCAAATTTTTTAGTCTAGACAAAGAGTTAAATATACATTAAATACAATCATGGTCGAAAAAATCTCATCCAAAATAAGAGCAATGTGTGTTTTGCGTGATATTTTTATATCTTTATAAGTTGAAGTGAAACACCAACAATCTATTGGCCTATTGATTTGAGTATAAAGAGTTCGGTTCTTTTTAAAGTCTTGAGTTTAAATCTTATTAATGAAAAAATAGATAGTGAGAAGGCTTTCTTATATAAGGTTCAACGAGATTTGACACGCCTTGATTTATCATGACAATGACGATGGTAGAATAACATAGTAGAGATAGTCACAATGATTTAGGTAATTAAATTGCATTTATTTTAAACAAATTAAAATAATATCATGAAATTTATGAATATTTTCTTTTAATCTTGATT